ACTACAATGACATCTTACATAAATAGGTGGTTACAAGCGAGGTAGGGAATCTTTAAATAAATGAAGTTGCTTTAAGACATTCCACACTTCGTCGAAAACCGATTGTAGTTCAAGTATGTGTCTTATGGAGGTGTCAACGTAGGGTAGATACAGTGAAAATACGTGGTTGTTAGTTGGAGCCAAATAAAGGACATGTGACTTAATCACTGTGATTACATTTGTTCGATATTAAGACCAAAGATTTATATTTACATTACAAATGTACTTAATAAGTTGCTGATAAAAAGGGGTGACTATACAAAACGATAACTCATCACTTAGTAAGATCAAATGTACTGTTTGAACAGGGTGTACTTTGACAATAATTGTCCAACCTGTATTCCAGCAAAGGAACCATTTCTACGCTGCTGTACGGGGATGTAACTCACATGCATTGTCAGAAATATTGATACATGACTGACACAAACACTTAGTGACGCTAGTTTTGGACCAATGACCTAGTGGTTTGATGTCTGTTGCGAAAAATACATTTCCCATCGGGACCACGAAGCGATTCAACATAGAGATGCTCTACTGTCGAGTGCTGTATATAACCTCATCAGTCGTGTGCTTCACAGTGCTTATTTCATTTAAATAGCATTACTACTGGTAGGTTGGAGGCGACCACGGAGCTAACCGATGAGTCACACACTTAGGCTAAAGCAAGAGCGAACATTCCTGAGATTCACAACCGCGTGTTATCCACGAATAGATGGAATCGCTAGTACAATAGCTATCCGTTTTCAACATCAAAACAGTCCGAAATTACACTGGGATATTTGAACAAGCTTCTGTTTCCTGTAGGATTTGATGACAACTGTATGGACGTTCAATGATTCGACGTGATCACATGCTGCAGATAAACGACCGTAAACATCTGAAGTTCAAGTAACGGATTTACTAGGATCCTATCGGAAGTATTTTAAGGAAAAAAGAATTCCTGTAGCGAGGAATGTGACTCAGACGTCCCATGCTGTGGAGAGTTGTAATTTGACATACTTGATTTTAAATCGAGATTTGCCGTCTTTAATTTCTAACTAGTGACGTACCATATTAATACAACACTTTCAAGTATATCTAATGATTAGCAAGATCGGAAACTATGTACGATTACCTTGATCTAAAGCCGTAGCTAAAATGTTTATCACAGCATTATTTTTGTATCGTATGACATGTGATTGGCACGGGTCCAAAAATGACCATTTGAGACACATCTATTCAAGGGTAGGTAGAATGTTACACAAGGGCCAATGTTTCATTACTCCGTGAAATCGAACAGATGCATTCATAGGAAAAAGTGGAAATTCATGTGCTTCCCTATCGATATCGTTTCTAAGAGAAAAAACTTTTTCTTTTAACGCTTTGTCATCATCGCGTACTTCGCTCTCCAGTAATTTAAGCAATCACCGTTTTGTTCTGGTGTTGAAAAAGCAACTCTTGGCATTATTGCTTAAAACACCATTATCCTCAACAAACTTTCAGTTTACTATGTACATTAATATATGGTTAGGATTGCGACGAACTCGTGCTACGCAATTTAGTGAACAGTTAATAAATAAACCCATTAGGTGAAGCTGAAAAGCCTTTCATACCACAAGATTATTTTATTTTATTCCTTGTCGGATTTTGAAGTAATTGTGCGGGTACCACGAATACGTCCAGTTCGTCTAGCAGCTATTAGACCAACCTTGCGACCATGTGATGCATCACGGCGAATCGTAGATGGTTTACCTATATGTTGATGATTACCACCACCGTGAGGATGCTCGACAGGCTGTCAACAGTAAGAAAGTGCAGATATTTGACATACTTGTATAACAAACTGAGATTATGAAAATGTTAAACACGTGGAAGTACACATGAAAGATTCATAGCAAAATTAAGTATGATCAATTTGCCAATGTATTCAACACCTTGTTCACCTAAACGAGTCGACTGATGATTGCGTGTCACTTAAAAACAGCCTTCCAATAGTTGTAAAAATAATAGATCATTGCATTTTAACACGTTAGATTCGCATATGCCAAGTAGAGCATGACAGTACGTTAGTACTATTTACGTATCAGTCAGCTAGATATCGAGTATTTCGAAAATGAAGGCTGAGCTAATTGGGATATTTTAGTAACATTTTAACCCCTACTTGTTACACTTCAAATTTTTGTACATAACTAGTATGCTAGCTACTTGCCGCTGCCATATCTTCATATTATGTTGACGGCAAAATCTTAGATCACGCTTTTTATACAAAACTAAATGAAAACGTCTGCAGTAAAATGAGTGAGATATTTTATGAAGTAACGTGAATGACAACGATGTATTAGCAGTTATTAACTGTTCATGACCATATTAAAGGTTTTGCGTTCGTTGAGACTTTAAACAAGATTACTTACAATAGGCTACCTAAAACTTCGGAACTCAGTTACTCGAAGTTAATGGGGACTTATGTCGTTACTTAGATCTTGCAAGCTTTTCACAAATCTTGAGATTTACGAATGTTTCTAATGCGATTACAGAAAACTGCTCCTTGGATGATGAAATGTTATGGATTGTATTCTTACTTTACGTAGAATAGCTCAGTCACTCACGTAGAACCTAATAAATTTGCACTGGAGTTAAGGTTGTTACACCCAATTAACATGAAAATGTTAGGCCAAACCTCAGACTATTAGAGGTAGTGACAGTATCAGTGATGATAAGAAAGATTTGGGGTCAGAAATTCAAATATATAGAAACACCAAAGTGGGATAATTGTACGTAGATATCAAGATTGTTGACTAGTGTCCGAGTTTATCCACAAGTTTATCAAACAGAATAATTCATCGGCATGCACCAACACTAATTAGAGGCACACTATAGACGCTCAGTTTTTACTGTTAAACAAAGTTGTGGAAAAAGCTAACCAAGCGAGAATTCACATTTATAGCGACTGTACTTTAAGTATGTCAATCTTAATTGCCCGGACTTGAAATCTGACGTCAATGTAGCGTCACAAAATCTAGGAGCAAAACCTGAGGATGTTTCGAGCATAAACACAATTATCAAGGTTGCGATATTACTAAAGAAACTTACGTTCATGGCAACACCTCTGACTGTGGGCCAACAATGCCTTTTAGCTTTATACTTATGATAGGCTCGACCTGCTTTTAAAATGGGCTTGTCTACCCGACCACCGCCAGCGACAAGACCTACCATGGCACGGCAAGTGGATGGCAAAACTTTTTTTGCACCTGATGGTAGTTTGACACGAGTTCGTTTAGTGTCGGGATTGTGAGCGACAACAGTGGCATAATTCCCACTTGCACGAGCTAACCTCCCACGATCACCACACTTCTCCTCCAGATTGCAAACCACGGTTCCTTCAGGCATTGCACCTATTGGGAGGATGTTGCCAATCTGATGTTATTAGTAAAGTACAACAACCCTACCTGAAGTTTGGCTTTTTTACCACAGTACACGAACTGTCCAGTATGCAAGCCTTCCGCCGCGATAAATGTTTGCTTGATCAACTTGTATGAATATACATCTCTGAAGGACACTTTGGCTAACGGAGCGCCACGACCCGGATCATGAATTATTTCTTTAACGACACCGCGAATATAACCATGTCGTTCAGCGAAATCATTTGGACGCAACCTAGCAGCTCCTTTACGATGTTTGGTATGCGCTTTGAAAACACCTCCGGCACCCTTACGTTGGCTTCGAATAACCCTACCCATCTAGAGCGTTCAGTAACTTACAGGGACAGAGAACCTACCTCCACGCCAAAATCAAACTAACCGCGTACAGAAGTACGCAAAGCTAACAATGCTATTGTGTCCAATATCAAGCTAAACAGAGTTCGAGCTATTCATACAGTAGTTATATAAGATATATAGACCATACATTTCTTTCTTAGAATCGGTTTTGTTCTTAAAGGAAGACCTCCTTATAGCTAGGGAGCTCTGGATTAATGCGCTAGACAACGGAAACTCAGTGGATGTTGTCTACATAGACTTCAGTAAGGCTTTTGACAAGGTGCCAACTAATAGACTGCTATTGAGGTTGGCAAACCTTGGTATTGCCAGACCTCTTTTAAAATGGGTTAAGGATTTCCTAGTAGGTCGTAGGCAAAAAGTAAGAATAAATTCCAAGTGCTCCATCTGGAGACCAGTACTTAGTGGAGTACCCCAAGGTTCCGTCCTAGGTCCTTTAGTTTTTATAATGTACGTTAATGATCTTACAAGTACAGTACAGTCTCCAATGTTATTATGCGCTGACGATGTAAAAATTTGGCGAGTAATAACTGGAGACACAGACGCGTTTACTCTTCAGGCGGACCTAACGGGGATCTTTTTAGCGCTAAAAGTTATTATTATATGTAAGAAACTAAAACTGAATTGATTTAATTAAACTGGACGTTAGTGATACTAATCAATTGTAAAACGTTGTATTTAAAAGAATCACTTTGATTTCATGGTTAATAACTTGGAAAATGTCTAGTAAAATGACTTTCTTTGATCTTACAGAGTTGTAGACATACATAAAACTGTATAAGATGACCATTACGAAGAAGGAAAAGAGAATTATATAGGTGGTGATGAAAAGCGGCGGTGATATGCCTGATTATCCACGCGCAAGTAGTTGAATCAGTTAAAGTTAGTAAGATCAGTATCGTCATCTGATACCTATAAGGCATTTATTCTAGATTATTATCTACCTACACAACCAGAATATAGGATACTACACAATCTAAACGTTTGTAGCAGAAAAAAATACTAGTATTACTTCAAAAAACATTATTCTGAAAAGTTGAATAGTTCTATGAAAATGTGGTCTTTGTTGATGGGAAGTGTGTGGTTACTAATTAATAACGTTATAGTTTTGTAAGAGGTTTATGTGACCATGTCATCATTTCAGTTGTGAATAAATCCCAAAACGTCCATAAATATGATTGAAAAGTGTTTATAAGCTCAGAGACATAAATGAGCAATGTAATTGATTTTATAGAAACATCAACCATAACGAGGTAAAAACATATAGATAAACGCATTTTCAAGCTCTTAAATACATGATACTACTTTGTCCTTTTTCTGGTGGTAAATTTCTCATAATAGTAAAACTGTGAAATGACTGTCCATCAATAACGAAGAGATCTGAAATTCAACTAGAATAAAAGAATGTGTAACTATAAAAAAATTTGTGAATTCATAAAAGTTCCTCTTTGAATTTGAAAAAATGTTTTAATAAGTAGTTAGGCACTAAAATAAATCTTTGTTAAACGCGGTGTAATCTTGGAATCACTAAGCAGCACTAATCAAATAATGGATGAATAATGCTGTATCTGGTCAAAAGATTTTGGTATATCAATTTGGAATGGTTAAACAAGGTTTATTATCATTATATATAGATAGATGAGTTGACAAGGATGGATAAAGAGAATATAAGTTGTTTCCCAAGGTTCAAGTGTAAATGTAAACTAAAGTGTGCGACAGCAATTTAAGGACTAATCAACTCACCAAATAGTGAAGTTATATGACGCCAAACACTACTTATTCAGTATTCTGTAGTAAGAATGTTAAATCACTTTCATAAATAACCAGATAAAACTGTGAAGTATAGTTGACTAAAGTTGTTTTCCCCTATGCTTCCCGCTATTTGTAATCATTTTTGTTAAGATATCATGTTTTTGACGTAAAATTGAAGTGATAGGAGCTAAAGGTTAACAAATCTAAGATTTGAAACTAATCGATATATTCATTTACTGTTGGTACAACTAATGTAAGATGATGGCGTTCATTCCGTGAAAAAAACAAGATGAAATATATTCACCGATTATTCAGTTTTATGAGTTAAATATGCTAAGAAATTAGTATTTTTTATTTACTTGTCGTCTTTTTTGTTCTTTGTCTAAAGTGCTTTTTATCGATCCTGTTTTATTTAATAATGTTAAATTAGTAATTTATATTAAATATGATAACTTGAACCAACATTTTACTGAATAAGACATTAAGTTACTATGGTCTCAACAGAATCACATCAACACGGACTGCCTGATGACATATTAACAACGTAGATGAATACGGCTATATTATAAAATTCCAACAGTTATCATTTATAAATGTTCATCATGATTCCATTTAGATGAATGGAATTTCTTTCATCAGATTAGTAATATTGAAGCATGAAATATACGTCCAGTCAATATTTGAAGTCAAGTACTTGAATATTTTAAAAAAATGAGATCATGAATCAATTGTTGTTAGACCACCATTAAACCTGGAAGCACTAGGAGGCTGTTTCGTCTTATTGTGGGACTCCTCAGCAGTGCGCATCCACGATCTCTCTCTCTCTCGGGATTCGAACCCAGGGTCTCCAGTCTCACACGCGAACGCTTAACCTAATGGACTATTGAGTCGGTATCCAATGGTGTTCATGTTTAACTTCAACTAATCCACGAAATTGCGCAACCACCTTCCACTGTACTGAGGTAGATACCTTTCTCGTGGATTGGTCGAGTTTCTGGGTTCGAATCCCACGAGCGAGATCGTGGATGCGCGCTTCTGAGGAGACCCACAATAAACGAAACGGCCGTCCAATGCTTCCAGATTTTCGGTGGTGGTCTAACATCAGTTGGTTCATGATCTCAACTAAACAAAGCTTAATAATCTCGAGAACCCTTATACTGATACTTGGATATTTATCTGAATTCTGATAGTTAACATATTTTGTGATGTTTCAATGAGAAGAAAACTGTATTTTTGACATTTCATAACTTAATGTAAGCCACTTCTGAAGAAGTCATCAAACGTTCGAAATATAATTTTCTACTCATTGAGATATCCTAAATATATTTATTGTTAACTTCCTACCCAATGGTTTATTTATTTTAAACTAAATTTTGATGTTTTTGTAATTTTCTTGATCTGGTTTTACTGATTACACTGTTTTTGGTAATATTTTCTACATAATTCATCTGATAATCCCTGTTCCTGTTACTATTATCGCTATTATTAATATTACAGTATTGAACGTCTATTAAATGAAAAAGCTGAAATCATCCAACAATTAGATGATGCGAATACAAAATTAATTTGTTACGAAGCTACTGAAAAACAATTTATCAAAGAACTTGCCAGAAGTCAGTAAGTCAGTTTGATTTATAGTAATATCAAACAATTTAACTGTTTGTTATTCGAAAAGTGATGACATATATTGTATGAAGGCATAAATTTAGACAAACGATAAAAAGTCCTGAGCTTGTCGAAATATCTCTGTTTAAAGGCGTTTTGTACTTACTTATTTATTTACGCCTGTTACTCCTCGTGAATGAGCATAGGCCACTCACCAGCATTCTTCATCCAACCCTGTCCTGGGCAATCCTTTCCAGCTCTTTCCAGTCGGTATTCATTCTTTTTCATATCTGCTTCTATTTCCCGACGTAATATGTTCTTTGGCCTTCCTCTTTTCCGCTCCCCTTCAGAATTCCAAGTTAGGGCTTGCCTCATAATGCAGTTTGATGATTTACGTAATGTATGTCCTATCCAATTCCATCGTCATTTCCTAATTTCCTGTTCACCAAAGGTGTTTTGTACTGATCGAATATTGACTGATATATTACGATCGACTGAGCATATTTCTAGAGATAATAAATTCATTTACTCGAAATGTTTCTAAAATGAAACTTGTAATAGAAGGTAATTAAGACTGTATTGTTTGTTTGTTTTTCATAAGCATAACAGGATAAACGCCATACATTCCCATGATAATTATTATACATAAATTTGTCGTTATTCATTTTGAAATTACTATGAAGTAATTAATCATTAACAAAATCTGTGGAACGTGATATTTGGTTACAAAACTGAATTGATGTTTTTAAAATTGTGCGATAATTATCTCATGCGTTTGTTGTGCCCTTTTACACTTTGGACTTAGATGGATACCTCAGAAATTCCATTCCAAACTTAGTTATCCGAATTTAATTGATATTGTTCCAAATTGGTTGATGTGTCACTAACTCTTTCCTATTTTATATCACTTTAATTCTCTAAAAAATGTTATATCCTAAATCTTTTATTTCTGGATTTATTATATCTTTTATTTCTTCATTATCGTTGATGTCATTTCGGTTTTGACGATTAATTTCCCTTCCTTTTGTTGATGTTTTATTATCCTAACACAGTTATCAAAGGTTGTATGTTGTCAAAAAAATACAAATATGACATTAAGGACCAATCCTTCAAAAATGTAGAATTAGCAATTGTTAGACATACTAACAAACTGAACTGTGAATATTTACTCGATTTCCGGCAATTTTCACGTATACCTTTTCATCCTACCTTTCCAAATCATATTCTCTATGTTTAGTCTTTCTCATTACTACTGTTGTTATATGATTTTGGTTCACTTGCTATTAATCTTTCCTAAACTTATATCTTTGTGTTATCTGTGTTATAACAACTTGGGCCGATCCACTCTGACTATGACTTGATATTGAAGTTTAAACTATTTAATTTGATAATCTATTTTTCGGATGATCTACTATCAGATAGAGTTTTTATATCGAAAGCATTTTTTTTAAATATAGAGCTGAGGTTTCATATACTCAAGAACAGCTGATCGAGCTGTTTGATTATTCAAAGAGAGTACGAAATAAATTAAAAGAGAAACTATGCACTGATAGTCTACTTCGTCCAATATTTGATAGAATCAACAGTTTAAGAGATCATATTTCTACACTGAATCAGTTATGTAAGTCGTCAATCTTTTGTGTTGCTTATCTCTTACAAAGTAAAAGATTTACGATCTAATAACTGTGATTTTGAACGATAAACTAAAGAGTTTAACTCATATTCCAGCAATTTCCGTTAAACGTCGTAGTCAAAACAGTCCCCAGGAGTTAAAAAGTTTGAATGCATACAACAACCCAGAAATTTGATTGGTATTATGTTAGATTGTGTGTTGGAGTGCTACAGAGAGCGTCACTTCCATCAAGATTGCATCTACGCCTTGTTAGTAAATGGTAATACGTACAAAACATATATCTAAGGCTTCCTTGAAACTTATGACTTATATCCAAACATTAGTGAATATGATGGTAAATTACTTATTACTTATTATTCAATTCCACACCCCAATTGACAGAGTTCAATTCACACTATGAACTAAACAACCACAATACTGGTACATGTATATAAATTTTAGTAAACAAAAGTAATTATTTATCTAAACAGTGTTTAACAAAACTATTAATTTTATGAGTGATTTTTTAAATAATAAATGAACAGTCATTCGTAGAAAAAGTCTAAACAACCAATGATCCTTCATCATTCCCTATTGTGATATACATCACTATGTATGGGGTTACATTTAAATATAATTGCTCCATTACGAACTTTCTTTCAATCTTGTTTATTATTCAAATAATAAAAACACGAAGGGATCTCTTCTCAACGAATTCATTATCAAGCTGTACAACCGTATATATATGAAAAAAAATTTTCGCACTAATTCTTTGAGCAAATGTGATCACGAATAACTAAGATGACGTAATTATTTATTATTTATTTATTTGAACACATAAATATTGGTATAAAAGGGCACCAAATATGTATGCGCCACACAAAGATCGAAGCGAGAATAGAGTTTTCAGTAAATACCATCATTTTTATTATCATTATATTTGTGTGTGGGCTGTGATACTGCCCGGGTGCCCAAACTGAAGCAGGTGGTTTTCTTATGCGGCCACACTCCGAGCCCTTGACCTAAAGGTCTGATCCACAAGGTAGTGGAAAATCGTGAGGAGATGCAGTCCCATGGTAGCCGGTGACCAACGATTGATTCATACGCCATTTGTTCCCTCAGGATACTGGAGCTCATGTGCACCATTGGTTTGGGATCCGGTTAAAGTGTCGGACAATCGCTTTTCGTCCTCTCATTTTCGTAGACAATCCCCCCGCCACGAGAAGGCAGTGAGTAGGACTTCCCTGACAGAGGCTGTATACGCGAGGCCATGTGAGAGCATTAGAAAAGAGAGATAGCGAACTCTCCCTACTCTCGGCCGTACCAGGGCATTTGGCGGGCGTAATAGAAAGATTATAATACTAGATTACGTAATACGAATAATAACAATAGATTTAGTGAATGTAATAAGATGATTAAAAATACTAGGACGAAACGGCCGTTCAGTGCTTCCAGGTTTTCCATAGTGGTCTAGCTTCAATTGACTCATGATTTCAACTATTGAAATTACTAAAATCTCCACAAAACCCCTTCTGGTAGAATGTTTTTGTTCTAATAATTAAAGGTCATAGAGGTGTAAAAACAAATAAGGTGATACAATGAGTATTTATGAGTAAAATGATGAGAATATAAGACATAAGTAGAGGGGAATGCAGTAATAATAATAATTATTATTATAATAAAGGCCAAGGTAACGATAAAGATAAGACAATTTTGTACGCATAGTTCTGGTTTGAGCTTATGGATGGTAAGAGCTTCGGCTATTTTTAGGAGTTGGATACGAAGAAATCTAGGTAGATTTGAACGAATCATATAAACAACCGTAAAATCAAACTGTGAATGATTAGGTATTTAAGTATAGATCTAGCTGCTTCCCTCTCACCCTTGTAGAATCAAACTGGGACATGTTCTCGTATCCGAGTTCAAATATTCAAATATTGAAAATCGCACCAAATGGTACAAGCGATCTTAACGAACACGAGTGACTTAAAGTGATAAATTTATGGGGGTGGGAATTGGAATAAACAAATTAAATTAATTCTGAAGGAACGAATTGAGCTCAATTCGTTCCTTCTTAATTTACCAAATGGCAAAATGGGAATTTTCACTATATTGAAACGTTCTGAGCAAACATTTGCGTTGAAGGTTCTCAATGAGTATCTAAAGTATAGCGCAAGGCTCAGTGAGGCGATGACAAATGTTGATTTTATAAAGGCTCAATTCGTTCCTTCTTAATTTACCAAATGGCAAAATGGGAATTTTCACTAAATTAATTCTGTTTGAATGTTTATTATACTAATAATACATATCTATTTTAGATAATACTTCGCTTACACAATTGAATAATCAATATAACGAGATAACTAATAAACTTGATTTAGTTACCTTGGAAAAAGATTCAGCGATTAATAAGTTCAATGAATTAGAGTTAAAGTATAAAGAAGAACGTAATAATTGGTCAGAAAAACAAGGGGAACAATTGGGTGATATATTAGGTAATATTTTTTAAAAAAATATTTTCATTAAAACAGGTCTGTGGTTGGGCAGTGATTATAGATAGAGATATTCACTTACACTGACGTATATTGTAAGGTATATTTGATTTTGATTTCACTTATTGACTTCTTTGTAATTGTTCCTTTCTAATGTAAGCGTCAATTACTCGGTAGAATAATTGAATGACTATGTTTATCACGTAAGTGTCATGATCGAGTATCTAATGCTAATAACAAAGTTAACGATCGATGTCATTTAGTTGAAATCTAGTTATAACAGAAGTACTCATTAACGTCTGATTAGAATTGGTATGATAGTTAAATTAATTACACTGAGTTTATGAAGAGCTCATCAGTACCAGTTGGCCATCTGATTTGGTGTTTTAATCTTTGCAACTTCTGTAGTCTCATCCTACACCAACAGAACCTTTCATTACTGTAATAAATTCGAAAAATCTATTATCTAAACAATTTTTAAACCAAAACATATCAAACAATCTAATACCGCATATGTCCCCAACATTCAATAGTACTATCTAAATAAAGCTAATCATACCTGTGAACTGAAATGAATTCTGTAGTTATTATTTTCAGAATATATGAATATTATTATCTTTTCTTGCTGTAGATTAATGAGTGATATTTATGGAGTGAATGCTTAGGGATTTTACTATTTCAATTCTATATTTAATGCATAAATATTATCATAAGCTTGAGATGTAAATTGTATTATCAAAATCTTACAACAAACGTGTTATTGAGTGCTGAATTGATGTTCAATGCTAGACATTTCTAAGCGTTTCATAGCTCGTTTTTCCGATGTGATTGAAAAATATTTTCATTTAATAGTTGAGTTCATGAGCCAATTAAAGCTAGACCACCATGGAAAACCTGGAAGAACTGGACAGCCATTTCGTTCGACTATGGGACTCTTCAGCAGCTTTAATTGAACCATGAACTCAATGACTAAATTACTACAATCTCCACAAAAAGTAATTTTTGATAATAATCATCACGTGCTCACTAGTGACTGGAGTTCTAGTAAGAAGCCGTGGTCAGTGGAGTTCAACCGCTTCTGTTGTGAGATTGTAACTCACTGAAGACAATGGTAGATGGTGGCGGAATTTCGTGGATTGGTTGAAGTTAGATAATAACACCGTTGGATGCCGGTTGGCTCAGTGGTCTAGAGGTTAAGCGCTCGCGCGCCAGACGTAGGTTTTAATCCCGAGAGCGGGATTGTGAAGAGTCTCGTGCTGGGATGAAATAACCGTCCAGTGCTTCCAGGTCTTCCATGACGGTCTAACTTTCATTGACTCATGAACTCGATGATTAAATTACAACAGTCTCCACAAAAACCTCTTTCTGGAAATATTTATTATTATTGGGTTCATTAGCTTGAATATTAATTTACGAAAATTTAGTTAAGGATCATTATTAGATATTTGATCATTTATTTCATGGGTGATCCTACTCGTTATTGATTGATTTACTCTCAAAAATAGTTGGGAAAGTGAAAGTATATACTCCGCAATGAATTTTAGATCGATTAAAACTTATGAACGAAACTTCTTATTTGGTTTTCTCTATTCGTGGTTCACCTAAAATTTGTATATGTGTATGTAATAACATTTATTCAGAGTGCTCTCAATTCTGCTAGACAACTACAGAGGGTATTTTCAACTCAATCTTTCTTCATTTCTGAGTATTAATTATAAACGTAGAAACTGGGACATATGTCCATTTGTTAAAGTTGGCTCATCATATCAGTTCAGCGATTTGAAACCTTCAAGGTGAATTCCAGAACAGTTTAAGTAGTGACAGTGTCAGTGGTACTAAAAAATATTGAGCATAGATAATATGAATTGGGAAAAAAATATTGATTGCACGGCATTAAATGTACACTATAATTTTTAGACTCAACATCCCAGAAGTAATGAAGCGCAAATGCTTAATTTGCAACCGTATTCTCACTGTAAGACTTCAGATTTTGATCTATATTACTATGTGGTTTGATAGTTTTGATACTCGGTCATCCTTCTGTTTGTTGAACAGAGTTACAGTCTGAGGTTATCTGTTGATGAGAAGTGTATCGGAGAAGTTTATTAATATCTTGAAGGCCCCATATACAAACATCTCGGGTAGAGTGAGGGCATAAACCATTTCTCTATTATTTCATTTAAGCAGTGGGTTAGGCAGGGTTGCCCAATCTCACCATTCCTATTCAACTTAGCCATTGATGACTCTCTTAAAACAGCTCCGATGAAAGTAGGTGATGGTGTTGTGGATCTGCTACCTGGAGAAATGCTTCTCAACCTTAAGCATGTGGATGATATTTTCTTACTGTAGAATAATACTCATATTATGCAATCCGCACTTAGTCACTTGACAACCAGTGTCCGTTGGTACAGCATATGTTTTGCGCTTTCTAAGTACAAAGTACTTTTACAAGACTGGGAGAACCCTGAACTTGCACTCACCCTGGGTAGTGAGCAGATAGGGGAATTTGAAAAGTTCTTTTATCTGGGTAGCTGCGTAAGTGCTGGCGGTTGCATGAGAGATGAAACCAATCCACTTATAGTGAAAGCCAGAGCAGCTTATGTCAATTTGGAACATCTTTGGCGCTTTCATGACGTTAATCTGGCTGCAAAGTTCGGGTTCACAACGCGTTAGTGAGCACAGTTTTGTCCCATTCTTGTGGAACCTGACCTCTGAGTTAAGGATGTTAGACAACTCACTGTGTTTGATCATCGTTGTCTCCGAATGATTGATGACATCTAGTGGCGTCATCATTTCACTAATGTAGAAGTTTAGCAACGTGTTTTCTTATGTGACTCCTCAGCAGTGCACATCCACAATTCTGCACATGGGACTCAGACCCAGGACCTTCGGTCTCACTTATATCGACTCGTGAATTCAACTGCGAAAATACTACAGCCTCTACAAATCCCCATACAAATATTTTTGTGTTTAAGTAAATAAAATAAATGAAATTAGACCAGTCCCCATTGTCGTTATTAAATTGGGTGGATTATAGAGAGTAGTTCAATGCAATGATGGTTTTGTCACAAGCTGATATTGTTTTAGCACCATTGTATTTCTTAAAACATGTATAATATGTTTATCTTTTTTCATAATCCATTTAGACGATATGATCATATTCATTTGTATCTTCATGTTGATGTTTTAGTCGCTTTAGTAATTATGGTCCTAAGCCATTTCTTAGATTGCATCAACTTTAGATGATTTAGGAAGCTATAAGACATTTCCGAATTTATTTTCAAGTTAATTTCTGTGTTTATCTGTCCTTATTTTGGATGAATTGATTGAAGGCATAGACATTGTTTATTTCAATAGAAAGTTTCGAAGATTTAAAACTTATTAAAGGAAAATATACTCTGTGAAAATATAATTCATTTGTGCCTATGAAACTGTCCTGATGTTCACCACCAATTTTTCTAATCTACCTGGAACAATGAAAGAATGCTTCATATTCACAATTAGACTTGCTGATTGCACAGTAGAAAAATTGATTCCGGAAGCTTATGTGCTAAGATCTCATTTGTCATTAAAATAAGTTTCCTGAGAATTTTTTTCCTATCATAGTTCTCATTAATACAGTGTAAAGATTGGTTAACAAGTTCTTTACTTACTCTGACAAAAGTTTTGTGTAACTCTCATACTGTTCTAAAATCTTTAACGTCGTTGAATGTCAGTGAATTAGGATACTGAAGTCACAATTCATTATAAAATTATTTGCCATTTTGAAAAGTAACCAAGGTGAGATATATTTCATAAACTTTGAAGTTATTATCACTTGCTTATCTGATTTTCACAAACTTTTAAGCATCTTTTAGACCAGTGAAACAGTATTTGGATCAGTTTAAAGGCTATGCCCATCTTGTCTTATGTATGAAGTCATCGAATAACTAAGCATACAGCTATTAATGATTTTCAATACCTCATCGACATATCAAATAGATTGTTATTGATTTGATAATCGTCCATCTGGTAAACCGCTTTATACTTGTTCCTAAAATGAATTTTCAAATTTGATCATTACTCTTTTTTACACTGATAAACAAAGTAATCATTAATTCACTTGAACGAATTCTTGATGATCTTCATACTCTATAGTCGAAACATCGTTCGAACATGAGACATTTTATTGAATATTTCCATGAATTCAATAAAACGGTTATAACTACAAGATTTCTGCTGTTCATAAGATTTGTTTAGTCTTCTTTTGTGAAAATCGACGATTGGATGACTGTTGATTAATTTTTTTACTTCTAAAACTACTCTATGTCATGAAGAATTTTCAAATAAACCCTGGTAGGATTTTTCCTGTCTACAAGTATTGTTTTAATCTGATCTCAAAAGATGATTAATTAAAGAATTTAATATCAGATTGGGTTTTTGTGGATATTATAGTAATTTCAATAGTCGAAATTATGAGTCAGTGAAAGCTAGAACACCATGGAAAACCTGGAAGCACTGGACGGCCGTTTCGTTCTATTATTGGACTCCTCAGCAGTGCGCATCCACGATCCCGACTCATGAGATTCGAACCATAGGACTTGTCGGTCTCGCGCGCGAGCTCTTAACCTCTAGACCACTGAGCCATCCGGCATCCAACGGTGTTCATGTTTAACTTCAACTGATCCACGAAATTGAGCGACACACCCATCATTGTTTTCAATGAATGACTGCCTCACAACAGACCCGGTTGAACTCCACTGGTTACGGCTTGTCACTAGAATGAAAGCATTTTCTAGAATCTTTTGAAAATTTTCTTTTTCTTCCAGTAATCGTTATTCTTCTTCTTATTTTTTCTTAAAATATTTCAGTATTAAAAACAAAATTAAAAGAAGAAACTAAACGTTTAGGTACTTTACATGATGAGAAAAGACAATTAATATTGAATTTTGAGTGAGTGTTTCAAAACAATCTATGAATGTTACCTTTTTCATATTGATTTCTTATATTTATCAGTTGAATATTGATTATGCCTCGGTGAACTAAATAATTATTGAGTAAATTACTTATTGAATATTTTTGTATTCACAATACTGATAGAAACTATCTATTAAATTTACTACTGGTCCGTATTAGTGCACAAAATCTCTTTTGAAATTAAATCAATATTTTTATAAGCAAAGATGGATGGTGGTTAGCAATGAAATCCAGGGCGCGCGTTTCGTCCTATTTGAGACTTGTCATCTAGATGTACCTGAATCGCACAGTTGATGTTCACTCCTGGACTCAAACCTAGTACCGTCCTGGATTCCACTGTTAGCCACTATCCATCTTTGCTTAAAAAGCTTGTGACTTCAGGCAATATTGAGGCAGTTCGCACAGGATACACATATGCTAACAAGAGGCTGATCAATTGTAATCCTAAATGACGATGGGAGGATGCAAGTAAGCAACACCAGATGAATAAATCAATACCTGATTATATGCAAACTACCTAATTCTTTGATGTTTCATAGACTACTTATTCTACTCAGTAGTATATATTATGCTTCATGAATATTTTTAAACAGACAAAGAATAAATGATCTAAAAGAAGAAAATCAATCATATGCTCATGAAAATATAAGTTTAAAAGAAAAAATTTCAAGGTAAGTCTTTTGAAAAAACCGATTGGGTTTTTGATTTTTGTTTTGGTTACCGGTTATATTTCTATTCTGTGCTAGAACTAGATTTAAACCAAGGATAAGATATTCATTTTTCAAAAAAACAATGTTTTGTATTGATGACTAAATCTTGAGTAACATTAACCAAGAATAGTAAAACTTGGAGTGCCGTGTGGATTGATTACTTGGTATTAAAAAGGAAGATAATATCGAGTCAATTTATTCTTTATTTTCCACTTTGGTTCAGCTTTTACAAAGTATTTATTAACAGTTTAGGGAAACTATGGTGAAACTGTACAACACTTCCAAGTTGTGGCTGCTTCGAAAATTACCTTGAAATTTTTTTTTTACTTTTGAGCACCGAAATTATTCATATTTAAGATTTAATCAATCCTAAACAAATTTGGGCCTAAATTCACAGTCCAAAAATGGAAGACCGATAAGGATCACTGTCTAAGCATACAACTACTATACGCAGTTGGACAGTTAGTGACTTCATGTATATGTGCAAAACATTAATCTAATAACCGATGTCTTTTACTATTCCGCTCATACCTCAATCACTGTGAAATAATGAAACAAATAAAAGTCACGTTGTTTTCCATCTAATGACTCATTTTTTAAATGTTACTATACTTCACTTGGTGATCTCATCATATGTGAACAACATTTCAGAGGTATGTACATCATCATGTCATCTTTATATCAGTAGTCAGCCGATTTACAGCAGATTTAAGTTGGTAAAAGTTAAATGGGATCAAATTCATTTGAATCCAAATTTGCAAACCACTTTATATCTAATAATTATCTAAATATTAATTCCTAATTGAATATGCTTAAAGTCCAATGATGTTAACAAAGTAAAAAATCTGACTATTCGAAATCGCTGATTGTACTGTTTGGTATAATAAATTGATCATTTATGTCGTTCAGTTTTAAAGAAGTATTCTCATGAACGAGAACACAATTGGGGATAATCGAATGTATTTAAATGCATCTTATTAAAATCTGAGAACCATACAGTAAATAGTTAATTTGCAAAATATTAGTCAATTGTCTCAAACTTGCAAATGTCAATCAATCGTCTCAAACTTCATTGTTCTTATTCTCTCTTCTTCAATCTTCTTAACTTTCTGCTGCCAGTTATTTCAATTGATGCCACATACTACTTATATCTATTGACACCAGTAGTACTAACCACAATATCATCAAACGGGAAAAATCCTATTAGATTAAACTGTAACTATTGTGAATCGCGAGGTGGCTACTCTAAATTCTACAGATTGACCAGCTTCAGATATCCCAGTACGACCCCAGTACTGTACCCAATCTCCAATATATCAGAACACAAACCGTAGATGAGAAATTGATTATGGGGTCAGGACCAGAATAATGATTTACAGACAAATGCATATTTATACGGTTAGGATTACTATAAATATTAACCAACCGAAAAATGACACGTGAAATAGTATTGACCAATAGGAAAATGACACGCGGAATAAATATTGATCAGTAGGGGAACGACCAATAGGAAAATGACACCATTTAACGTTCAAGGGTAGCATCAGACTTAACCGGATAATTGTTTTTGGGATATTTTTCTGAATATCCCAACAGTAACATGGAGTGATCTACATAGTTTTCAAGCCTACCGTTTATCAATTGTTTTAATATTGTTTTATATTTATGATATATAATTTCAAATTACAGTTTAGCTGAACAATTAGATAATCAGTTACAAAAACATGATCTTACTGAAAGAAACTATAAAGAAAGAGAACAATGTTTAGTAAACAAGATGACCAATATTTCTGAAGAATTAACTAGGATCAAAAGTAAATCATTTATAATAAAATGAATTTATAATATAATTCAGTGGCAAGATTATAATTTATGAACGAACCAATCAGGTATAAGATAACAGGTCTTGGGTTTTGGCGCGAAATTCATTCATTCATTCGGTTAAATAGAGTTTTGACATTATAACTGATGTCCGTTCGTGATAAAAACCATAAATTTAATTTCTAACCCTAACCATCAACTGTAAATCATAATGATAGTTCCTCACATAGGTTTATAATCCACATTTGGCTTTAGTTATTAAGTGGACACTCCTAAGGTCAGTCTAGCATTGCTCAAAGATCGTCCATAAATTATAGTCTCACCAATTCAGTTACTTGGTAAAGTTACACTTGATTGTAAGTGATGGAAATCGAGCCAACATTCCGTTGGTCGTATGTTGAATATCTAATATATTAAGTCAATTGCATTAGAAAAATTGATTACACATGATAAACAGTTTAAAAGGTTAAATAAACTTGTTCAGTTTGTTAAATATCTTCATCATAACCGTAAATCAATTTAAAATAATTTTTGAGAAATCACTTAGAAACGGAGAGTTTCTTTAAGCACTATTTAATGGACGACATTCGAGAGAAACTAAAGGGACCTCAAGGGTGTATTTCTAATTACTAGGGCTAAATGACAGTTATAAATCAGTGTGAGCAATTCGAATTACGATTTACAGTTGGTGGTTAAAGTTAGGAATTAGATTTAATGTTTTCATCACGAACTGGTATAAGCTATAAGGCCAGAACTCTACATATCCAAATGGATGAATATATTTCGCGCCAAAATTCAAGACCTGTTTTCGTATACCTGTTCGGTTCGTCCATGAATTATAATCCAGCCGACTTTCTAGTTTTTGGCAGTTCTTTGGTTGATGTGCGTTTGAAAGCATACCACTTTGCTAGAAAGAACTTATTGAGGCTATTTCTGTTTAGCTTCTGTGGACGCGCACTGCTGAGGAGTCCCATACTAGGACGAAACGGCCGTCCAATGCTTCCAGGTTTTCCATGGCGGTCTAGCTTCATTCGGCTCACGATTTCAACTAGTGAAATTTATAAAATCTCCACAAAACCCTTTCTCATAATAATCATCTGCTCACTAGTGACCAACTTCAAGAGACACTCCTGGAGTTTTAGTGTGGAGCCGTGACCAGTGGAGTTCAACCAGGTCTGCTGTGAGATATCAGCTCGCTGAGGACAATGGTGAATTTGCCGCTCAATTTCGTGGATTAGTTGAAGTTAGACATTAACACCGTTGGATGCCGGCCGGATCAGTGATCTAGTGGTTAAGTGCTCGCGCGCGATACTGACAGTTTCTGGGTTCGAACCCCATGAAGCGGGACCCTGGATGCTCATTGCTGAGGAGTCACACAATAGGACGAAATGGCTATCCAGGTTTTCCATGGTGGTCTAGCTTCATTCGGCTCACGATTTCAACTGGTGAATTTTATTTGTCTATATGCATGATAGACGTAATACAACAGTGTATGAACATGCACATAGTTTACTCCTAATTTTAATTGTGTATTATTTGAATAATGCTTAACGTTTGAATTTTATCTAGAAATGAATGATCAGTTGAATTCAGCATTGGAGACTAGTAAACAAGAGATATTTGAGTTGAAGACCATCAAGTAAGTTACTCTATTATTTGCAACAAGGATTTTCAATCTTTTTTACAATTAATTATCATACTTTTTAAAGTTGACTTTGACCCTAAACTAATATCAGCTGACGAAACACCATGAAGAATTAGATCAACATTTCGCCTTTGTTTAGTACTGAAGAGTGTGCACTTATATATGTACATGGAGCTGAAATCAACTCTAAACTTTCAGTCTTACAGTAACTGAAAAAACGGAGACGTTTATGACTAACTCAAAAGTAGATATATGTAAACTGTTTTAACTTCAAGTTTACTAGCTGATAATTCCTCAATATTTACGGTTTGTTTCTACAATTAAACGAACTTTGTTGATGATACTCATCACAGGAAAGTTATGAAAGTTCAACTTTCTGTATGTCATCATAGTGTAACTTAAACAATATTTCGATTGTTCTATTGTGATACACTGCCACCAAACTCTGATCAAAACATCATCTACTTTTACTTACTGCTCTTACCCCTTGTGGAGGGGTATAGGTCGCCCACCAATACTCTGCATCCAACCCTGTTCTGGGCTGTACTTTCCAGTTGCTATTAATACTTTTCATATCTGCTTCTATTTCCCGACATAATGTGTTCCTTGGTCTTCCTCTTTTTCATTTCCCTTCACGATTCCAAGTTAGCGCCTGCTTCGTGATGCAGTTTAATTATTTCCGTAATGTATATTTTACCAACCTCCAACAAATTTTCCTAATTTCCTCAGCTGGAAGCTGATTTATTCTCTCCCACGGTAGGTTGTTGCTGATGGCATCCGGTCAACGGAAATTGAGTATCTTACGTATACAACTGTTTATAAATCTTTTTTTTCTTTTTTGATGTTGGTTGTAGTATTTCTCCAAGTTTCATCTCCATACAGTAGAACTGTCTATACATTCTTATTGAAGATTGTGACTTCGATATTGTTTGACAGTTGCTTTGAATTCCAGTTGTTCTTCCAATCCTTACCTTTACATCTGCATCAGATCCTCTTTGTTCATCGATGATGCGGCTGACCAGGTACGTGAAAGTTTCCACCTCTTCCAGAGTTTCTCAATCAAGTGTGACCGGGATGGTGTTCTCTGTGTTGTGTTTAGGGATGTACATGTTGAAGCCTACTGACACAGAGTCTGCTGTTGCTACACTAGTTGTCTTCATCTGCATTTAATCGTGTGTATGGGATAGAGAGAACAGGTCATCTGTGAAGTCCGAATCGTCTAGTTATCGTCTACCTGTCCGCTGTATTCCGAGCTTGCTGTCAAATGTCAGAGTTTTTATCATCCAGTCAACCACCAGAAGAAAATGAAAGGGAGAGAGTAAACAGCCTTGTTTGACTCCGGTCTTCACTTGGAATGCATCTGTTAACTGTCCTATATTCACAACTTTACAGTCTATTCCGTCGTATGAATTCCATATGATATTGACGATTTTCCCAGGTACACCATAGTTTCTAAAACGGTTCCATAAGGTTCTCTTATCCACATTATCAAACACCTCATTATCAAGGAAGTCGATGTATAGTGACGAATTCTATTCAACTGCTTGTTCAACAGTGATCCATAGTGTTATGATTTGGTCAGTGCACGACCGGTACATACGGAATCTGACCTGTCAACTATCCAAATTTACACAAGTAATATTCTAGAAAGAAAGTGTTTGCAAAATGACATCTGTTCACAGGAATTTCAAACAGTTAGTGGAAAATTCAATTTCACTAGATTAACCAAGTTTGTCCACATGAAATCTGTTTTTATTTACTTTGTTTATTAATATGATGATCAGTTCAACACTTAATACTTTGTAAGTTAAAACTTTTAATTAGAGGTTAAGTCTGCCATTTTGTTGAAAATAGAAATTAGTCAGAGCCTTAAATGTTCAATTTCAATTTCTTAGGGTTACTAAGTGATAATTTTAAATTTCCCAGCGAAATATTGATTCTCTTAAAATAGTGCAACAAACTAGGTATGTATAAGACTTTCTGCTAATCACCTTCAATTATCTAACTCTAAACAGTTATTTTATTCATGTTATTTATTTGAACACATAAATACTGGTACACGGGGGCACCAGATACATATTTGGTTTGTGTGAGGGCTGTGATATTGCCCGGGTGCCCAAACCGAAGCAGGTGGTTTTCTTAGGAGGCCACACTCGGAGCCTTCGACCTACAGGTCTGATCCACAAGGTAGTGGAAAATCGTGAGGAGATGCAGTCCCATGGTAGCCGGTGACCAACGACTGATTCATACACCATTTATTCCCTCAGGATACTGGAGCCCATGTGCACCATTGGTTTGAAATCAGGCTTTTTCAACTCTCCTAGGTGAACTTTCCATGTCCACCAACCCGGTTAAGGCGTCAGATATTCGTTTTTCATCCTCTCAATTTTGTAAACAACACCCTCGCCACGAGAAGGCAGTGAGTGGGACTTCCCTGACAGAGGCTATATATGCGTGGCCATGTGAGAGCATTTTGAAAAACAGTGAGCGGACTCTCTCTACTTACGGTCGTACAAGGGCATTTTTCTGTATAATATGATTCCATATAATTTTATCAAAGCACTCTGTTTGTTTTGTGTTTGAGGATATAGTCGCTAACATTCAATCTTTGAAAATCAACTATTCAGATTCATATTTATAAATAACCTAATGATTAAGAATCAATTGTGACTCTCATTTGATTCTAATTTCAATCTCACAATCACCTAGATGAATATGTATTTTTGTCAATTTCTTTGTTATTTATAATTCAATTAAACAGTTATTTCTCCTACAAAATAATAACGTTTTCTTTTTTACAGATTTTAATGATAATTATTCCTTGTCTTTTTTTGTATTTTGTACATCAAGAGATTCACAGAATGAAATACACGGCAATTGGAAATTAAACTTCAAGAAATGGAAAAGAACTCAATGCTCAACAGTATAATAGAGTAAACTAATATATTTATTAGTATAGTGAGATTTATAGAAGTTGTAGTCTCTCTCTAGCCTAAATAGCGAACTGATCATTGTCGGACTATCATTGGAAACCAAGAACTACTGGAAAGCTGATTCATTCCAGTATGAGACTCTTCAACATCGGGATCTATGATCCCACTACAAAGGATCGAATATATGATCTCCGTTATTGGCTGCGAATGTTTAACCTTTAGGCCACTGAACCGGCATATGTTTGCTTATATAATTTTATTTTAATATTCAGTATTGACTTAATATTTATCCTTATATTTGAGGTTTACCAGTACGAGAAAAGCAGTGTGATGATACTGATAAGTCTTGCTAATTGAACGCTGTATTCGTTTCCTAAGCTATTCTGTAACCCCAAGCTAGAACTAGACTGCGACCTGAACACGAAAGAAAAGGCTCAAAATATGCGAGAAGTACTTTACTCCAGGGTCCATTTTAACACAGAAAATATAGGGTTTTTATAACATTTTTAAAAGTCCTTGGGTTGCTCGTAGACTCTGGTATGCTACTAAACATAGTGGCAGTATAGCAATCAACCAATCAGAACCTCTACACGTGATGTTTCACTTCTTTGATATTTTTGGCTAAAACTTCAAGCGTACGCTGATTGAATGAAACACTTCTTAGTGTTTCCTGATCCTTGCTTGTCTTTTGCAAGAAATTTTCTGGATCACTCCAACAGATACTTATAAAATTCGAGTAGAACATAGCTATTTTATTTATATTTTAGCGAATTCATAAATAGTTATCCTTTGAGAAAAAAATATAAGTGACGTGTGTGCAATAGATTTCAAGGCATTTGTTGAAATTTGTTAAACGCATATTAATAATATTGACTTTGATTATTTCTAATTTTTCGAAGATCCAACTATAGACTTGAAGTAGGTGAAGCAAAACTCCATTCTGATAATACTTAAAATCTTCTGGAAATCTCGAATACAAACAAGAAACTTTGAGACTTACTTATTATCTGGCAAATACAGGTTAAATTTTTCGGAACCAACCTATTTTGATATTCACTTTAATGAATAGTTGTCAATGTAGTTAACTGTATTGACCAATTAGTTTGTTTAAATAACTCCTGGCACTATTTTAGGCAACGAAACATTAGCAAAGATACAAACAACCTCGATCTGTATTTGTCATCTCATACCGTCTATAGTAAGGGTTAGAAATTCAAATCAAATATCGATTATACCACCGAATAGTTTGTTGTATTCGGTTGCACGACTGAACATCGTATGTTTGCTTTCGAATTATGCTCATCTGCAATAAAACTATCTAGACATGAAGTTCCTCAGTAAATAATTAAGTCCTTTGACAAATTTATAAACACGAGTCAAATAACGAAGTGACCTAGATATTTACACTTCGTAATCTCTTTAGACCGTTGGGTTGAAATTTCCCCAGTTTTCACTTCCTAGTTCCTTGTGATAAAACGCAATCCAATGTTTGACATAATCGTTTAGTCATTCTCATGTTTCCTATTTGGTTGATATCACTGGTAACGATTTTTTACTGGAAATATATCTGGGAGATAATCGCTGTTTGATGCATTGGGTGGTGTCTAGTGTTTCATTTAATTTATAATTCTGATAATGGAATGAGAAGATGGAGTTTATCAAGTTACGATGACTGACCATGTGCCAAAATAGCTTCAAAAAACAAATGAGGCTAAAAGACCCAATAAGAGCAGTTAAAAAATAACCATTTTCAATTATCAATCCCACTTAAAAGCAGTAATTGGAGTGATCTAAATCCACCAGTGATTTTATCTATCGATAGGTAGAATTCGATCAGTAGCTTGAATAACCCAATGGTACATATAACTTTAGACTTTGAAACTAGGTGACTTAAGTTTGTATCCACAAGGGACAACCCATTTCCACAAAATTACGTCTACGCCATGCTGACAAGTTCTAACTACCAAGAAATTTATGTCAAGAAGATTTTCTGATGAGTTCCTTCACCTACTTAACACCAATCCAAACGTTTTAGAAAGATTATCCAACTGAATTGTTTTGTTTTGTTTTGGAATTGTTATAGGAGTTGACATTAGAGAAAGAATTCAAATTATCATTGGAGAAAAAAGAACTGGAATTGCAACAAATTAAAGGTCAAACAAATCGAAAAATTGAACAACTGACATCAGAACTTAAACAAAAAGGTTGGTGGTTTTATTTAATTTTTTGAACAATATTTGCAGTTTAATGAGTTACAATAAAACGGTTATTTTCAGAGAGATATAATTCCTAATTATACATTTTCATGTTTGCAATAGTATGACCAACATTTTGCCAGTTATATTCAGTCCAACAAAAGATCGAGTTCGTATGGATCACTTTATACTTGTTTTGATAGTAATTATGTGTTAAGATTTATAACTGAGGTGGATGCGTTTCATTGTATTGAGAATGTAGTTTGAGCTAAGTAGTTTAACTACAAAGTATTCATTATCATTCTTCTGCATGATGATGTCGTTCAGAATAAAATAGAAGCTTCTTAATTGAACTAACGAACTCAGGCAACACAATACAGTCAATGATGATATGTATTTTGTGGTGGACAACTGTCTACTTAAACACATAAATTTAGGTAAAAATGAAGACCAAAATAAGTATACGCCAAACAAAAAAGAAAATGAGATTATGAAGAAATAGAGAAAGGAGAAGAGGCATTATCAAGTAAATAAATGAGTAGAAATAAGTGAACGAGAATATATTATAATCCTAAACAAATACAACCAGGAATTCTTTTAGCTAAAGAACTTCGTTTCACTTTTATAATGAATATAAATACAGACTACAACAGGATTCTCATTGGTTTCTATAATGAGCCATGTTTGATGATATTTAGTCGTAAATAATAACTTCTATTATTTATGAAACTATGATTTCCACATAACTTTCAATAGTGTTGCGAATTAACTTTGTCGTACAGGTGCTAAATGATTGTAAAGGCCTAAAGTAGAAGAAGAACAGTATTATTCTAGTGTTTAGATTGTTTCGGATCAAGTCGTGTTTAAATTCACAAGAAAACCATAGCCAAACAAGGGGCTGACAACTTTGAACCTCACTCTACCTATTTCAATCTGAACAATATCTCTAGCCGTTGCACAGTAAAATTGACTCTATTGATTCGCTACAAATTTCTTTTAGGTAGTTTGAACAAATAGTAATGGTATATTTACGTATATAAATCATTAGCAACCTAAAATTCCGGTAATCATCTAACAGACTGTCATTTGTTAATACGATTAAAAGAAGTATTTCTGGATGTTCCTAAATTTTCAAAACTACTTTGTGTTTGACATTGATTATATCAAGGAATATACAGAATTGATGATAACCTAGTTTTTATATGATGTAGGCAGAGTAAAAGCCATCTTGAGATTATTCCATGTTTAAAAGATTGGGTTTATTACTGAACACTGAAAAATAGAAAGCTATGTATCGTTGCTTATTGCTAACTAAAAAACTCTTCAACAATTAATATTGTGTAAACTAGATATTTATAACCATCAAAGTGTGAAACACAAATAGGCGTGATTATAATTTATGCATAGGTCTTGGATTTTGGCGCGAAATTCATCCATCTTTTTGGTTAATTAGGACTTTGGCATTTTAGCTGATGCGAACCTTAAATCTAATTCCTAATCTTAACCATCAACAGTAAATCATAATCCTAATTCCTCACATTGGTTTATAACTCTCATTTAGTCCTAGTAAGTAAGTGTACATCCCCAAGTTCATTTTAGCGTCACTCGAAGGTGGTAGTCCATAAATTGGTCTGATCCAAAAATCTAACTAGTTTCAAGTTATGTATGGCCAATCATGCTGTAATTAGGAATGAATTGCTTTGCTTTTCAGTGAACATTCGTAGGGTCAGTTCCAGTCCACAGTGAGATCTTATTAGTTGACAATTCAAACGCTTAACTTTACGCAGGTAATATTTGCTTGTTTCAAATAACTACTCTTATTGCTACTAAGAATACTAATAGTAATAACACGTACGAGTGTTTTTCCCTTATCAAAATTCATTTTATTTTTTTAATCCTTAAGAAAGAGAAAACATTGTTTTGCAAGAAGAACATCGCCGTATTATGGAAGCGATGAAAGAGGAAATTAACCAATTGACTAATAGCGTGAACAATTCGGATTCCGTTCGAGGAGAACTTGAAAATCAAATCCAAAAATATCAACAAGAAGTTAGGAACCTCGTCTTTAGTATTTTTTTATTAATTAAGATAATCGCAGGTGAAGTTTCACAGTCAGGAATTTATTCTAAAGGTTGTTTCGTACCGCATATTATTTAAGAACTAAAACGAAAAATTAGTAAGTGGATCTAATTTGATTTCCGGACATAGTCAGCAGGAATCTCTGAAGCTAGATTTTACGCTAGATAGCAGTCATTAACAAGATGTAATTGAAATCTTGACGAAACTTAGGTTGGTCGCTGCACAAATATATCAGTAGTAACGTCTCAAACGGTGAAGCTGGGTAGTGTAGATCTGAATCCTATAGGGAAAACCACTTCTATTAGCACTGCATACAACGACTGTTGACGAGTCCAAAGCAGCACGAAGTCTACTCCTAAAGTTTCCCACCGACCTAATATATTAACAAGGAGCATGCGAATTTCAACAACCAACCAGTGGACACACTGTAGCTTGATCGATAACATTTGCTCAGCATTAAAAGACTAGGAAAACATTTTATTGGTCACCACTGTGATTATAAATGCTTGAAGTTTATCCTCAGATTCCTCACTATAAACAACGAACGAGTTATGGGTGAATGATTCTGAAGAGTACTACAATCAAAAGATAAACTATCTTATTTTAAGTATAAATAAATGTCCTTTGTGTAGTTTACGATTCTTCCATTGTTAGAGAAATATTACTCAAAGAATTATTTATATGTACATTTGACATAAAACATCGTAGTTTGCAGACACTTGGTAATTCACATGAGAATAGTCAGTCTCATCAACTAGTTTCAGTTACACCATTTAATCACAGTCTCACTGAATATCACTCAAAATTGACTGTTATGAAATGTAATCAAGACACATACAGCATTGATCATGTAGTCTCACTAATGTCTTTTTCATCTTCATTTAATCAAAACAAAAAATAATCTCCAAAATTTACACTTGATTCGAATTACTTTCAGCGTTTGATTGTCTAAGGAGGTAGCTAGGATATTAGACTCATATGTTCTTCAGAACCTATCTAATCTTTGTTATCGTCTTGAATTATAAGGTCTAGTACATCTGAATGTGATACTGAGGGTATGTTGGAACTAGAGTTTGATGAGTAATAGTGTACGTTGCCAATGTCGTCTCGTTCCACCACAATAATTGATTTTATTGACAATTTATAATATTAGGACTAGCAAACAAGATGATTTAGTTTAACAGTGCACTGCGAAGTGTAAAACCTTAGTAAGGAAGTTTGAAGACTTTCGCCAAGCCCTCAGTCCAATTCTTCTTAGTGAACAAGTACAGATCCGTGTATACGACCTACGTTACACACTAAAGTAGTGTGATAAAACCCGGCTGGGCGGGCCGGAGTTAGTTGAATGAGTATCCCATTTAAAACCAGTGTTTAGAGCTTAGGTCTTTCCGACATCAGTCAAATATACTCTGACACCAACGTGTATTACTCAGCTTGACGGCTATGCTGGATAAATTCTCGTCAGTAGAGTTATATCAATTGTCGCTATTTTGATTATCTAGACATTTATCAGTTAGACTATCTGTAGAATGTTAATAACTGATCACCGTCTTTCTAGGTTAAACAACTTTACGCTACAGTTGAAAAAGAATGTTGGGAGAGAGATGAATTAAACTCTGTATTGGCTGAAACAAGGGATCAGTTAATGAAACTAAGTAATTCCTCAAAGGAATCTGAATCAGATCAGAGACAATCTAATTTGCATGAAAACCAAGAAGATAGCCATTTATTACCACCAATATCTTCATCGTCGGTAAAGTCTGAACAGTTTACCAAACGTACTCTTCCAAAAAGTTCGAAGACTCCTAATTCTAATAATGGTATTGCAAGGCGTTCTTTCCAAAACTTTAAGTAAGAATTTACAGACGAAATTACTCAGTAACAATTTATATTGGACAGACTGTTGGATGAATCACATAAAAACTGCTCTTTGTATCTGTAAACCATGGATTACTCATTTATCGTCAATATCAAAACCATATGCTCTACTTACTTAATACTGGTTATAATTTGAATCATGGACAAATATCATATCAATACTTAGCTTGAGACTTTGGTAGTATACTCTACAGTTGGTATGTGTGTGAGTTCGAATTCTCCCTGTAAGATAAACGGATGGTTATCAAGAAAGATGGTTCATCTAAAGTTATTAGTTTGTTAGATAATTTACACTATAGATTTTTACTCATGGGTCGCTACAATTGTTTTACTTCAAAAATCATAACATGGGAATGGTAGTTTAGTATTTTTGTAGCGTTAAATCAATAGGCAGCAAACTGTTTCACATGTCCTATTTTGAACGGATGTGCAGTACCACAAATCGACTGAAATCGTAACACCAAGAATATTTATGTGGCACGTTAGCAAAGTTCATCGAGAGTATTAGCTTCTCTGTATTTGACTATAAATACATACAAGAATGAAGGATTGGTGCTTCGTGAAGGATTTTCTTTTAGATGTACCAGGCTTGAAATTATTATGACTAACGATACTACCAAACTACGCAAGATAAAACATTAAAGGTTATACTCAGACAGAAGTCATTAATTTTCTCATCTTTTACTGTGAATTTAAGATTAACATTCTACTTCACAGACCACAGCAAAAATCCCAGAAAATCTAACTTGGAGCTGGGCCCTAGTAAGAGTAAGATCACTGATGAGTTAGATAGTTTAATATGAACTCAAGTGCATATTACTAAACTTTCAATTTATATTTTAATTGATCGTCTATAATCAGTTTGAGAAACGTATTATCTAGATATTTCGTTTGTTGTATCTGTATTTAAAAGGAATATAAAAGATACTTCTGGATTGGCTGCTACACGAAGACAAATTGCTGCCATTATCTCCGCAACAAAGTTCCGAAGTCAATGACTAAAAAGTAAACTAAGCTGTAGATGAGATTTTTAAAATAGCGTTATTACTTACATATTTTTCTCTTTTAATCTAAAATAGTTTAATGTACTCTTAGTCTTCACTACAATGACATCTTACATAAATAGGTGGTTACAAGCGAGGTAGGGAATCTTTAAATAAATGAAGTTGCTTTAAGACATTCCACACTTCGTCGAAAACCGATTGTAGTTCAAGTATGTGTCTTATGGAGGTGTCAACGTAGGGTAGATACAGTGAAAATACGTGGTTGTTAGTTGGAGCCAAATAAAGGACATGTGACTTAATCACTGTGATTACATTTGTTCGATATTAAGACCAAAGATTTATATTTACATTACAAATGTACTTAATAAGTTGCTGATAAAAAGGGGTGACTAAACAAAACGATAACTTACTAAGATCAAATGTACTGTTTGAACAGGGTGTACTTTGACAATAATTGTCCAACCTGTATTCCAGCAAAGGAACCATTTCTACGCTGCTGTACGGGGATGTAACTCACATGCATTGTCAGAAATATTGATACATGACTGACACAAACACTTAGTGACGCTAGTTTTGGACCAATGACCTAGTGGTTTGATGTCTGTTGCGAAAAATACATTTCCCATCGGGACCACGAAGCGATTCAACATAGAGATGCTCTACTGTCGAGTGCTGTATATAACCTCATCAGTCGTGTGCTTCACAGTGCTTATTTCATTTAAATAGCATTACTACTGGTAGGTTGGAGGCGACCACGGAGCTAACCGATGAGTCACACACTTAGGCTAAAGCAAGAGCGAACATTCCTGAGATTCACAACCGCGTGTTATCCACGAATAGATGGAATCGCTAGTACAATAGCTATCCGTTTTCAACATCAAAACAGTCCGAAATTACACTGGGATATTTGAACAAGCTTCTGTTTCCTGTAGGATTTGATGACAACTGTATGGACGTTCAATGATTCGACGTGATCACATGCTGCAGATAAACGACCGTAAACATCTGAAGTTCAAGTAACGGATTTACTAGGATCCTATCGGAAGTATTTTAAGGAAAAAAGAATTCCTGTAGCGAGGAATGTGACTCAGACGTCCCATGCTGTGGAGAGTTGTAATTTGACATACTTGATTTTAAATCGAGATTTGCCGTCTTTAATTTCTAACTAGTGACGTACCATATTAATACAACACTTTCAAGTATATCTAATGATTAGCAAGATCGGAAACTATGTACGATCACCTTGATCTAAAGCCGTAGCTAAAATGTTTATCACAGCATTATTTTTGTATCGTATGACATGTGATTGGCACGGGTCCAAAAATGACCATTTGAGACACATCTATTCAAGGGTAGGTAGAATGTTACACAAGGGCCAATGTTTCATTACTCCGTGAAATCGAACAGATGCATTCCATAGGAAAAAGTGGAGATTCATGTGCTTCCCTATCGATATCGTTTCTAAGAGAAAAAACTTTTTCTTTTAACGCTTTGTCATCATCGCGTACTTCGCTCTCAGTAAATTTTAAGCAATCACCGTTTTGTTCTGGTGTTGAAAAAGCAACTCTTGGCATTATGCTTAAAACACCATTATCCTCAACAAACTTTCAGTTTACTATGTACATTAATATATGGTTAGGATTGCGACGAACTCGTGCTACGCAATTTAGTGAACAGTTAATAAATAAACCCATTAGGTGAAGCTGAAAAGCCTTTCATACCACAAGATTATTTTATTTTATTCCTTGTCGGATTTTGAAGTAATTGTGCGGGTACCACGAATACGTCCAGTTCGTCTAGCAGCTATTAGACCAACCTTGCGACCATGTGATGCATCACGGCGAATCGTAGATGGTTTACCTATATGTTGATGATTACCACCACCGTGAGGATGCTCGACAGGCTGTCAACAGTAAGAAAGTGCAGATATTTGACATACTTGTATAACAAACTGAGATTATGAAAATGTTAAACACGTGGAAGTACACATGAAAGATTCATAGCAAAATTAAGTATGATCAATTTGCCAATGTATTCAACACCTTGTTCACCTAAACGAGTCGACTGATGATTGCGTGTCACTTAAAAACAGCCTTCCAATAGTTGTAAAAATAATAGATCATTGCATTTTAACACGTTAGATTCGCATATGCCAAGTAGAGCATGACAGTACGTTAGTACTATTTACGTATCAGTCAGCTAGATATCGAGTATTTCGAAAATGAAGGCTGAGCTAATTGGGATATTTTAGTAACATTTTAACCCCTACTTGTTACACTTTGAATTTTTGTACATAAATGTTATGCTAGCTACTTGCCGCTGCCATATCTTCATATTATGTTGACGGCAAAATCTTAGATCACGCTTTTTATACAAAACCAAATGAAAACGTCTGCAGTAAAATGAGTGAGATATTTTATGAAGTAACGTGAATGACAACGATGTATTAGCAGTTATTAACTGTTCATGACCATATTAAAGGTTCTGAGTTCGTTGAAACTTTAAACAAGATTACTTACAATAGGCTACCTAAAACTTCGGAACTCAGTTACTCGAAGTTAATGGGGACTTATGTCGTTACTTAGATCTTGCAAGCTTTTTACAAACAAATCTTGATTTACTAATGTTTCTAATGCGATTACAGAAAACTGCTCATTGGATGATGAAATGTTATGGATTGTATTCTTAATTTACGTAGGATAGCTCAGTCACTCACGTAGAACCTAATAAATTTGCACTAGAGTTAAGTTTGTTACACTCAATTAACATGAAAATGCTAGGCCAAACCTCAGACTATTGGAGGTAGTGACAGTATCAGTGATGATAAGAAAGATTTGGGGTCAGAAATTCAAATATTTAGAAACACCAAAGTGGGATAATTGTACGTTGATATCAAGATTATTGACTAGTGTCCGAGTTTGTCCACAAGTTTATCAAATAGAATAATTCATCGGCATGCACCAACACTAATTAGAGACACAATATAAACGCTCAGTTTCTACTGTTAAACAAAGTTGTGGAAAAAGCTAACCAAGCGAGAATTGACATTTATGGCGACTGTACTTTAAGCATGTCGATCTTAATTGCCCGGACTTGAAATCTGACGTCAATGTAGCGTCACAAAATCTAGGAGCAAAACCTGAGGATGTTTCGAGCATAAACACAATTATCAAGGTTGCGATATTACTAAAGAAACTTACGTTCATGGCAACACCTCTGACTGTGGGCCAACAATGCCTTTTAGCTTTATACTTATGATAGGCTCGACCTGCTTTTAAAATGGGCTTGTCTACCCGACCACCGCCAGCAACAAGACCTACCATGGCGCGGCAAGTCGATGGCAACACTTTTTTTGCACCTGATGGTAGTTTGACACGAGTTCGTTTAGTGTCGGGATTGTGAGCGACAACAGTGGCATAATTCCCACTTGCACGAGCTAACCTCCCACGATCACCACACTTCTCCTCCAGATTGCAAACCACGGTTCCTTCAGGCATTGCACCTATTGGGAGGATGTTGCCAATCTGATGTTAATAGTAAAATACAACAACCCTACCTGAAGTTTGGCTTTTTTACCACAGTACACGAACTGTCCAGTATGCAAGCCTTCCGCCGCGATAAATGTTTGCTTGATCAACTTGTATGAATATACATCTCTGAAGGACACTTTGGCTAACGGAGCGCCACGACCCGGATCATGAATTATTTCTTTAACGACACCGCGAATATAACCATGTCGTTCAGCGAAATCATTTGGACGCAACCTAGCAGCTCCTTTACGATGTTTGGTATGCGCTTTGAAAACACCTCCGGCACCCTTACGCTGGCTTCGAATAACCCTACCCATCTAGAGCGTTCAGTAACTTACAAGGACAGAGAACCTACCTCCACGCCAAAATCAAACTAACCGCGTACAGAAGTACGCAAAGCTAACAATGCTATTAATTATGTCCAATATCAAGCTAAACAGAGT